GGAAAAAATATAGTGAAAGAATGCAATGAAAGCAATGTTTCCTCTTTTGAATAAACAATTGGCTATAAATGCATGGATTAATGAGACTTTTTAGAAGTATAGCTTCAAAAAGGGAATATAAATAAAAACAAGAAGTCATTGAACATACCAAAGAAAATGCACAGGTCATTCATATCAGACCTAGCTAATAAAATATGATAGTCAAAGAATTATTTTAACAAAATAGCCGAGCTATAGTGAAAGAATGCAATGAAAGCAATGTTTCCTCTTCTGGATAAATAACTGGCTATAATGCATAGATTAATGACACTTTTAGAAGTATAGCTTCAAAAAAGGGAATATAAAAGAAAATTGAGAAGTTATTGAAAATTATTATTAATAATTACTCTAAAGTGGACATCAACTGCAGCGCATGAAGCAAAAAGTGGAGAAAAAAAAGGTGATAAGCATACTTTAAACATTGACATGAACTAGACTTGGGAATGGGTTGGATGTACAGTAAACGCACCATATTAGTAGATCATGATGGAAAGGATGAGAATCTAGATCCCATCCAAGGAGGATGCTACTAGCCCTCACTCTAAGAATCTACCAGAAAAGGGAGAAGCATAAGGACCTCTACAGAGTGATTTCATCTTTTCTTTTACTGAAATTATGATTTTAAGTCAATTTTTCTAAGACTTAATTTTTTTTATTCATAAATTTTAAGTTCGAAATAGGCAACCATCATGTCGCTAGAAAATTTATTAAATTAAGCATTGGTCTTAATGCAATTTTAAGATCTCAAAGCACCCAAATATTTGGGTAAAAAATTCATGAATTGCTTATGAATTGGGTGTCAATGTTTGACCCGACCCGAAAACTCGGCCCAAAAATTTCGGGTCGGGTTAGGGATTTCGACTCGTTTGTAAAACCGGGTCGGTTCGGGTTGACCCGGAAACCCGAAATCAACTCAGTTTGACTCGTTTTTAATTAATTTATGAGATTTTTAAAGGATTTTTTATGAAATAAGTAAATGCTATTTTCAAAAAATAATAAACAATGAAGCCCAAATTAAATTAAGCTTGGTTTATTTTAAATTGATTGAAGTAAATCTTACTTTAATTTGATTTAGGTTTAAAAAAATCGAATTAAATAAAAAAAATTAGTAAAACATACATGAAGCAGGTCGGGTTCGGGTCGAATAGTGCCGGGTCAATTCCAGGTTGGACCCGAACCCAACCCATGACCCGATTTTGACAACCCTACTTATAATATCATAAAACTTTGTTTTTTACAAACTTAGTGATGGGGACATCGGAGCTTGGAAAGTCTATCAGAGACGTGGCCATCGATTTACGATCACGATTGAGTCATACTTCTGAGTCATATTATGTTTTTTTTTTATGATGTATTTGTTTTATAAGTATTTCCACTTTTACCCCTAAAGGAATGTCGTATGTAAGCCCAGAGGACATCATCATCTTTTTATTTTCTTGAGTCATTTGTACAAGGCTATATATAGCCCTCATGTTCTCTTTTAATATCAATATGAATAATATAAAATTTTTTCATTGATTGAGTTCTTGTGAGATCTTGAGAGTACTTAGGAGAGAAATCCCTATGTGAGGGAAATCGGATCACCCACCAACTTTGGAGACAGCCGAGTTCGTGGTTCTTCTTCTCTAACTCTTTTCCCTTTTCCCTTTGCATCCTAATCGCCGGCTACATAAACCCACCCCACCACCCAAACCGCCAACCATCCTATCCCCACCACCACCCCACCGAAATTCCCCACTAAGCCCCATCAAATCGCCGGCCCTATCTCCCTCTCCCTCCCTCCAAAATTCAAATCCCCTCTCTTGAATACATTCCATAAATGATCATTCTTAATTTATGAAGGTTTATTTTCAAATTTCAAAATAGTTTGAATTTGAAAATTCTTTCCTAATTTAAGAAATCAATTTTAGGAAAGTTCCTAAATTAAATATTTGAATTTCAAATTAATTGGGATTTAATTAAAACTTGCCTAATCTCTAAATCCCAAAATAGCAACCCAAATATCCTCCCCACAATTCCCTCCTAGCCCTTGAAGCCGCCGGCCCCCTAATAAATTCCATGATTTGTTTCCAAATCCAATAAATCCCCTCTTGGAAACAATTCCTAATTCCCTCCACCCCCTTTGGCCGAAATCCCCCCTAAGCCCCACTTGTTTAATTTCTTGCCAAAGGAGAATCTCTCCTTTTGGAATTAAACTTAAGCCCCTCACCTCTCCCTTGCCGCCGGCCCCTCTCTTCTCCCCTTTTGGAATTGTTTTCAAATTTCAAAATCCCTCCAAGGTAAAATCTGAAATTAATTTCAGATTTTAAGTTCACCTCCTCCCAAAGCCTAAAACTAATTCCCCCGCACGTGGTTCCTCTTCCCTTGGCCGAACCATCTCTTCCTCCTCCCTACTTCAATTTTGAGAGAAACTTCTTTCTCTCTAGTGGAGCTTCAAGGGATTAACATTGATCTTCGGCTACACATCATCCTTCCAAAGCCAATGAATGGCCGATCTGGAGCTTGACTATGGATTTGCTTACTACGAACAAGGATACGTTAACATCCTCCACTCCACCTTCGATTTCAACCCGAAAGTTGATCATTCCATCGAAGAGTACGTGAACCGCATTATTTTCACGCTATCGGAGGCCATCGAAGAGCAACTTGTTGGCGCCCAGTGGCAAATCGTCTCAGAACCTTCCCAAGGGTGAACTTCTTCCCCTTTTCATTTACTTTCCTAATCCCCTAATCTTGTAGGTGGTGACAAGTCACAATGAGTCGTGCTTCGCCTTATGCCTAAGCTTAGTAAACGTAGGATTGAGTGTGCTTTCTATGTTACTATCTTATTGTTAGGTTGGGGATTTTTGTTATAAACTACTTCATTCGTATGTTGTTGAATTTCGCTATTGTTTTGATAATTCAAGCGTATATTATGTAACTTGGCCTAAACGATGTGACCGTCTTACGTTTTAACTAGCTAATAGTCTTAATTGTTCTTGTTCTTTTCAAAATCGTGCAAGTTCTTCACGCATTCATTTAAAGCATTGTAGTCCAGCATCACTTAGTGTCTATACGGTGCTGGCTTAAGAAATTTATTTCTTAAGACATCAGCTAATGGGATGTGCACATCATTAGCTTATTCCTACTATTTGAGGTAGGCTTTAAGTCAAATTATCTAATAGAGATAGGTAATAGAGAAAACAGTAAATACTTGTTGCCTTTATTGTGCTTCATTTGCAAGCACACTTTTAGTAAGAAATACATAAACTAAACAAGCAGAAAAAATAACATAGACATTTCAGCCCAGGTGTGAATAGGCTGCTCCTAGCTGTTTTGATTAAAAAAATATATTTAAGTATATATAGTTTGAAAAATAT